TTGTTGTTGAGTTGTGTGAGTTTTTAAATACATTTTAGATATTAACATCTCTGCAGATATATGTTTTGCAGATGTAGTCCCATTTGTTTAGTTTTGTTTTTGTTTAGCTTTTGTTTGGAGTGACAGCCACAAAAACATTGCTAATTGTAATTTTATTTACTTTGACTTGTTTTGTCTTTTAATCTGGATATTGGCTTTATATATTATTGATTTGCTACATTTACTATATATTTACCTTTTCAAGTGATATTTTAACTTTTCAAATGTGCCTTTTTATTAATTAGTGCCTTTTTTTAGCTTAGAAAAGTTCCTTTAACATTTCTTGTAAGGCTGGTTTAGTGGTGATGAACTCTTTAAGCTTTTGCTTATCTATAATACTCTTGATCTCTCTTTCAAATGTTAATGTTAACCTTTTAGTTAGAGAATTCTTGGTTGGAATTTTTTTTTTTTTTTCTTTCAGTCCTTTGAATATGTTATGGCACTCCCTTCTGGCCTATAAAGATTTGCTGAAAAAAAATCTGCTGATAGCCTTATCCTATATAATCTTATTTAATAAAACTGTAGTATGCAAAGCCACTGAATGGCAGAAAGACTGGCAGAATGACCAGTTGCTATGATGTGCACTGACCTCAGAAGCTGCCTCCTGGTGGCTAGCGCATTCCCCCAGGGGGAACGCTGCTCAGTCAGAAGCCAGGCTCCTGGCACGTGAGCGCAGCAGCAGCAGCGGTGGTGTTACCTCTCCTGCCTCTGCTTCAGGCGGGCGGCAAGGAGCGAAGATCCTGGACTGCAAAAGGGTGCAGGCCTGGCTGAAGAGCCCCTTCTTCCTCCTCCCTTCCAGTGCTCGAATTTTGTGCACCAGGCCTCTACTATGTACTTAAGATTATTTCTTTACCCTTAACTTTAACGTTTTAAAATATATATACTTTTTTATTGACTTCAGAGAGAAAGAGAGAGGGAGAGAAAGAGAAACATCAATGATAAGAGAGGATCATTGATCAGCTGCTTCTTGCATGCCCCCTACTGAGGATCGAGCCCACAACCCAGGTATGTGCCCTTGACTGGAATTGAACCCAGGATCCTTCAGTCCACAGGTCGATGCTCTTTTCCACTGAGCCAAACCAGCGAAGGCAACTTTTACATTTTAATTATAATGTGTTTTGATGTGGTTCTTTTTTGTTTCATCTTGTTTGGAATTCTGGGCTTCCTTTATGTGGGTGACTGTTTTCTTTCCAAGATTAAGGGAAGTTTTTGCCGTTTTTTCTTTAAGTAACTTTTCCGGCCCTTTCTCTCTTTTCCTTTTGGGACCACTTGATGTTGTCACAGAGGTCTCTTGAGGTAGCTTCTCTTTTTAAAATTCTTCTTTTTTAATTTTGCTGCTCTGTCTGGGTGTTTCATTGCTTTCTCTTCTTACTTACTGATTTTTACTTCTACTTCATCCAGTTTGCTGTTGAACCCCTCTATTGTATTTTCCAGTTCAGCTATAGTTTGGTCCTTTTTTATATTTTCCATCTCTTAAAGTTCTCATGTTCATCTGCAGTTCAGTGAGCAATTTTATGACTATTACTTTGAACTCTTTGTCAGGTAGGTTGTTTATCTGTTAAATTAAGGTATTTTTTCTGAATTAATTTCGTTTTTTGGTTTGTCCCATATTTGTTTCCTCATTTTGCCTGACTCCCTGTGTTTGTCTATATGTATTAGGCAAAATAGTCCTGAAGGAGTGACCTTGTGCAGGAGATGATCTGTGGGACCCAGCGGCACAATCTGCTCTTGCTACCAGAGCCAGGTGCTCAAGGTGCATCCCTTCTGTGGTCTGTGCTTACCTGTGGCCTGTGGCAGGGCCAGCTGCAGTGTGAGATGGGCAGGTTGCAGGTTCTCATCTGCCTGGCTGTGGTGCAGATGATATATGGGGAGGGTGGGGTGTGGTGTGCTTGCCTGGCTGATTATAATGTGGCTGCTGTTTGGGGTGCTTGACTGGCGTAGGGTAGGAAGATTGCTCTACCAGTGCCGGCAGGCTAGAGGAAGGGTTACCAGCACATTAGAATGAGATTGCAAAAATGGTGCCAGCCAGAGCCTCTGTCCCCAGGGAAAGTCTTAGCAGGTTCTTGCCTCTCTGGCAGCCAGATTAAGTTGTAAGTGGGTCTCCCTCACTTATGGTCTAGGCTTTTTTCAAACTGTTGCTTTTTGCTGGATCTCGGGTGAATGGGTCTGCACATGAACCCTTTAAAAGCAGATTCTCCATTCCTTACAGCTCTATGTTTCTTGTGGACTTAATCCCCATTGCTTTTCTAAAACCAGACATTTTGGGGGCTCGTTTTTCGGTGCCAGATCCAAGAGTTGGGGAGTGCTTACTGTGGGGCATAATCCCTTCACTCTTCAAGAGAGAATTCCATATTTTTCAGTATTCCTCTGGTTGTAGGTCTGTCACCACATCTGGAGTGGGGACTCCGGTGTGAGCGTGTCTCTGCCTCTCCTACCCGTCTGGATGCATCTCTTTTATCGTTTGCTGGGGAGGTGCTGTTCCTCTAGCTCTTGGGTCCTTTCAGGAGAAAATTGAATTTGTTGTATCTGTGGGAGGAAGTGAGTTCAAGGTCTTCCTATTCCTGTCCTGAAATAAAATCTTCAGTTTTAAATCTTGATATCCACTGTTTCCATGAGGCACTAGTTGGCTCTGAGCCAGCCGCTGGCTTATTGCACTTATTTGTGGCCTGATGCATGAATTAATGCACATTGAAAGGAAGTTAATTAGAAGAAATATTTTAATATCACAGCAAGCTAACCCATGGCTGATTCTGTGAGAAGTTGGGCTCCCTCCTCTCTGGGTCTGGGGTACGGGTGAACCAGATTCAGGGCCAACGGTCCCAGAAGCAAGCTAACCCAGGGCCAGCAACCTAACCTACCAGTTGGAGCACTTGCCCCCTGGTGGTCAGTGTGCATCATAGCTACTGGTCGAACGGTCGCTTAGGCTTTTACATATATACTAGAGGCCCGGTACACAAAATTTGTGCATGGGGTGGGTGTCCCTCAGCCCAGCCTGCAGCTTCTCTAATCTGGTACCCCTCGGGGGACATGCTTCTTGCAATACGGGACTGTTGGCTCCTAACCACTCACCTGCCTGCCTGCCTGATTGCCCCTAACCACTCTTCCTGCTGGCCTGCTCTCCCCTAACTTCCCCCCTTGCCGGCCTTCTCGCCCCCAACTAGACCCCTTTGCCAGCCTGCTTGCCCCCACCCCCCTGCCAGCCTGATAGCCCCCAACTGCCCTCACCTCCTGGCCTGATTGCCCCTAATCGCCTCTGCCTTGGCCATGCCACCATGGCTTTCTCTTGGGTGGTTTATAGGTGTCCCAGTCTAATTAGCATATTACCTTTTTTTTTAGTATAGAGAATAGAGGCCTTGTGCATGGGTGGGGCCCGGCTGGTCTGCCCTGAAGGGAGTCCTGTATCAGGTTGGGGGTCCCCTTGGGGGGTGGGGCTGGCCTGGGCAGGAAGCCTGGGGCAGTTTGCAGGCTGGCCACACCCCATTGGGGTGAGGATCGCCGCTAGGGGCTGGCTGGGCCTGGGCAAGAGGCTAATGGCCATTTGCTACGCCCTCATTGGTGTGAGGGTCCCCTCTGGGGGCATGGCTGGCCTGGGCAAGGGGCTGAGGACTGTTTGGGGATGGTTTTCAGGCTGGCCAAGCCCCCGGCTTTATCTGGAAGGACATCTAGAAGGTGTCCTGGTCTAATTAGCATATTACTCTTATTGGTATAGACTGGAGGCCCAGTGCACAAAATTTGTGCATGGGTAGGGTCCCTAGCAATTGCTGGCTGCCAGCTGATGTCTCCCTTCCTCTGGCTGTCTGCCGCCACTGCCCCCTGGTGGTCAGTGCATGTCTGACTCCCAGTTGGTTGAACTGCCTGTGGGAACAATTTGCTTATTAGCCTTTTATTATATAGGATAGATGTTAGCACTTAATTTTATGCTGTTCTTTTTGTAATTAAAGTACAATATATATGTATTGTTGACTTGTCTCTCCCAGTAGAGGTCTGGGACCATGTTATACTACCTTAGTGATTTTTACAGTCCATTAAATACTTCGTTGTATATCATTTGTTTCTTCACTACTCTCATAACTTTGTGATCAAGTTTGTGTTGCTGCTAGTGTTCTTTTCTACAATTTGATGCCTGACTTTTTATTAAATAAATATTCAAGCATATTCTAAAGGGATGGAATTGTCTAATGAGCCCTTCCTTATGTACATGACCCAGTCTCAACATGTGATCTTATTTTATTTATTCCCCCATTTAGCACCTTCCTAAATGTGCTAAGTCTTCTCCTCCCAGTTGCTTGGTAATTTTGGAAACATCTCAAATACCTTTCGTCTGCAAATACTTCAGTGTGTATAGTTTTTCTTAGTAATTTATCTCTGGCCAGGGCTTTTTCAACATTTTATCCAATCCTAGTTTCATTGATATCTTGTACTAGAGGCCTTATAATCCGGGATCCCCCGAGGGATGTAGTAATGTGCGAAGCAGCAGGCAGCTGGGGAGGAGCCCGAGCCTGGGCTGGGGCTGTGCCTTTCCTGCTCATTCTGGCCCAGTTCCCGCTGTGCCTGCTGCCACTGCCACCCCATAAAGCTGTTGTGGCAGCAGGAGAGGCTCCCGCTGCTACAGCTGCACTTGCCAGCAGTAAGTCCCGTGTCTGGCGCACATCAGTTAGCTGAGTGGCCCTCCCGCTGTGGGCGTGCACTGACTACCAAGGGCAGCTCCTGCCTTGAGCATCTGCCCCCTGGTGGTCAGAGTGCATCATAGTGACTGGTCAAATGGTTGAACAGTTGGCCGGTCAAACTGTCGCTTAGGGTTTTATATATATAGATAATTTTTTGTTTGTTCTGACTTAGAATCTGAACTTTGACTAATTTCAGTAAAATATTTATCTTTAGTATAGTTACTATGCATAACATACTGCTGTGGGGTATGTAAAGATAAATACGCACAGATACCCATCCTAAAGGAATTATTATAGTTTAAGAGATAAAAAAGATTTTTCAAAACACAGATTGTAGTAAGTGCTAAAATGAGGTGAGATCAAAGTGTGTGGTAGAGGGATCAATTTTTTAAAAGGGAAGATTGGTATAGACTTCATAGAGAAGATAGTATTTGAGAGAAGGGAGATAAGTGAAGGTCTGTTTATAGGCTCTGTGTGGCGGCTCTGTGGATACCGTGTCCGATAACATTTGGCTTCCCAGAGCTCACATAGAGCTACTGGGCAGAGTCATACAGGGAAGTGCTAGAGCTGAATTGGAATTCAGGTATGTATGACTTATGCCACTCCCTGAGGTAGGCCTTCACCTATCTTAGATTTTCCACAAGAGAATATACTGGAGGAGGGGAAATAGTGGGTAAGGATTTTCCGGGTGGAAGGACTAGTGTTCCTAAAAATAAATATAAGTAGAGAAGTTTTCCAGGGACCCAAGAGCAATCCAGGGTGGCTAGAATGTAGGGATTTTGAACGAGCATTCAGGAGACATTTGACGTCTATGTGGCATAGTAAAATCATGGAAAACTTCAAAGGCTGTATTAAGGAGTTTAGACATTGTTCCATTTTACTTCAGGGGCTTTTGAAAAGTTCTTTGAGGTGGGGAGCAAATCAGTCAGACCTGAGCCATAGTGTGTGTCTTGAGATCGCCCCTTGTTTCCCATACCTTTCTTCTTAAAACTTTCCTAATTAGGCACGCAGGAACCAACTGTGACCTTCTATTTCACTTTCACCTAAATAGTGACCAGCCCCTGTGCTTGACGATGCTATAGGATAAATAGGAAGGAAAAAAACTTTTAAATGGTTCTTAGGTGAGTGACCTATAGGCTCACTGGGAAGGTGTCTGTGAAGTGACCTTGTGTTTCATGTTTTGTCTGTCATCTTGACTTAATTATAAGATTTTTTAGAAAAGAGTTTTACTTGTAAATCTCGAACATACAAATAAATTTGCAAAACTGGAAATAATAGAAAGAACCCCTGTGTGTCTTTTATACAGACACCATTGTTAACATTTGCTCAATTTGCTTGCCATTTGTACTCTTTATTGTTACTTTTTTTTTTCACTGTCTCTATCTGTACATTAATTTTTTTCTGAACTGCTCATTATGATCCTTTATCCCTAATGCTATTTCCTTCCTAAGACTAGGGTTATTTTCTTGCATAATCATAGTATAGTTATTCACTTTAACAAATTTAATATTGATATACTTTAATCTGCCATTCATATTTCAATTTGACTTGCTTTTTTAATGTTATCTAAACTGTATACGTCCACTGTATCATAGCTTTTAATGAATATTTGATTGTCAGCAGTGATTTATTTCTAGCATTAAACTTAATTTTTCGAACAGTTTTCTTATCTGAAATCCTGTGCTTCACTCTCTAAGGTGATTCGGGATGTGATAAATGTGCACATGGAAGAACTCAGTCATAATTGGCAAGAAGAGCAGGAAAAAGCACAGGATGATGCTGAAAAGTATGCCATTGTGTTTATTGGTGAAAATATTCTCTTTTTAAACTCTTACTTATAATCGTTTAAGTTTTAGTATCTCCAAGGGCATTATAGCACACTAGTATTCATCAGAGCACTTATTGTTTCTCTTCATTGCTTAGGATTATTACACCAGAGTTGTAAAACATGTTATAAAAACGGTGTCTCTCTGCCCTCTTATATGAAATGTAAAATTACACACTTATTTAGATACTGTATCATTGGTCTAATGCAGAACATTAACTTTAGGCTGGGGCACACTGAAGACCAGTGAAGAAAGTGAACTGATGAATGAATGGTCCTGTCTGTTTCAGGAGATGAGAAAGGCGATCAGCTTCAGTAGATTCTCGGCAGTCTGGTGGAAGCTATTTTGATGCTGAGTGTTCACAGCATAGAAGGGATCGGAGTAGGAGCCCACATAAACGAAAAAGAAATAAAGATAAAGATAAAAATTAGGAATCAAGAAGGAGGAAAGAGAGGTAAGTCTAACATTGTTTTGTCCAACAATGAATTATTTACCTTTAAAAGGTAGAGTTTCTTAAGTATTGTGTAGGTAAACAGTTAATTGTGTTAAAAAGGTGTTTGCTTTTGATCCTGCTGCTTCCTTCCTCCCTTCAACTGTCCCTCTCTCTTTTTCTTCCTTTGCTAATTCCTATTGTGTAAGGTATATAGTATCATTGAGAAGATCCAAACTTTAATAGCAGTCAATTTTGCCCTGTGAATATCCCTGATAAAATTTTGATAGCTGAGAGATACGAACTAATGCTAAAGTAATAAATTGAAAGCAATTGAGGTCTATTCCTATATTTCAGCTGCTTACTGGGCATCTGCCTAGATCCCATGTTCAGCAGGGCTATACCTAAATTTATCTTTTTCTCAGTCTGTTTGTCTTTCCCAGCATTTCCTGTCCTGGTTAATGAATGACCATCATTTGTTCATCTGAGCCAGAAATCAAGGAGTCATGTTAGATACTCCTTTCTTATTCCTTACTACCGTGTTTCCCTGAAAATAAGACCTAGAGCAACTTTGGGAGAAAAAATTAATATAAGACACTGTCTTATTTTCAGGGAAACAGGGTATCCAGTCTTAATTGCTGTCAGTTCTACCTGAAGAGTCCTCATTTATTCCTCCTCTACCTCTGTCATTATTGTTGTCCATCTGGAAAAGGAAGTTGTTCTCCTAATTGCTCTACCTGTCTAGAAGCTTGTCCCTTACGGATTCATCTCTACCCTGCTGCCAGAGTGAACTTAATTTCATCTCTTACAACTCCTCAGTGGCAAAATTCATAGTCCTTAGAATGGCTCTCAAGGATCAGGGCCTCTGCCTACCTATCCTTGTATTTTCCCACTTCCCATGAAATGGGTAGCTAGTGCATTAGCCAACCCGAATTACTATAGTTTCTCATCCACACTGTGTACATTTCTACCTTGCCATGTCATGTTCTGCTGCCTAAGGCCTGCTTGGTAAAGTTCTCATCTTTTAAGACCCAGCTTAGTCATTCTCATGAAGCCATTTTTTACCCACTCAAATAAAGCTGATCGTTTCCATTTTATTACTTGTCTACCTGGCACATGCGTAATTATTACTCTCCCTTCTAGGCTGTGAGCTCTTTGAGGGCAGGCCCATGTCTTATGTAGGATTTATGTGCACAGTGCTTGTCTGATAAATGGGCTCGCAAATGATACCTTGTCTCTCCAGGGTTGCTGGTGATCAGGAAATTAATTGTAAGGCTTATGGTTTAATAATTTTTCTTATCTTACTATCATTCAGTTCAAGGATTTAAAGCTAGCTATGATTTAGTTGTTCTCTTATAAAAATTAAATATTTACTTAGTAATCCCTTTTGATTCATGTAATTATGATATAATAATTTTATACAAATTAACTCTTGATCAGTTATCAGAAATCCTGCTGTTTAACTTCTTCCTGGTTTATTAGTGCTTTTTCCACTTAAGTAAAATTTGATATGTCTGATCAATACCTATTGACTTAAATTCATTAGACAGTCTCAGAACCTAAACGTGATAATTTTCTTTTAAAGAAGACAAACTGAGTATTAGCAGAAATGTTTCTAAATAGGCTAATCTTTGATATTCTTCCTGAGATAGAATGAGTTGAGAAAGGAGCCAGGATAAAGACATCAGACTGTTTCTAATTTCTCCTCTGGTTTTAGTATTCTACTTGAAATGAATTCTCTGATCATCAGCCATGTACATATATTCAAAGTTAATTTTAAAATGGAACTCCAAAGTGGAGCTTTTAAAAAATTCATTTTGTTTATCCCCATCTCAATTTAGTCCCTTAGTTTTAATGATGCGGTTTCCATATTTACTCTTTAAAAATAACTTTTCAGTTATAAATGCATATTTTAATTTGTCCTGGTCTATATCTGTTGTATGAATTATTACTTTAAAGCTCTCCTATTAAGGTGTCCATCATTTATGACAGTTTTTATTTTTATCCCTTTCATTTCAGGGATGGGGAAAGACATCATAGTCATAAAAGAAGAAAGCAAAAAGTATAAATTAAGTATTCATGCATGTGTTAATTATGCTAATGGCAAGATAACTAATATGCTGATATTTTCATTGTAATTGCTTTGACTAGGGGAAAATGTTTATATGATCTGTTTAGTGCTCAGATCACTATTTTTCAGTAAGTGTTTATGTCTCAAACCATAAGCACTATAACTTTGTTTCCCATATATTTTAATAGATGACAGCTTCCTGTTACTAATTTTGTTCTTTTTTTCTTTTTCAATAATTTATGTATCAGAAAATTCTTTAATTCAGTACTTAAATTATATAAATAATACACGAATGCATTCTCATTGTAAAAAATTTAACCTTACACAACACCATCTCTCACTCCTATGGCCACCCCAGTGGTAACTGCTATTTAGCACTACACTGGTGAGTTGTAATAGAGAAAAGCAACCTAAATATCTGTCAGGAGGGGAAAGGCCTGGCTAAATAAAATGCACTATAGTCATATAACAGATTATTTATATAAGATTTAAAAAATAAACTTTATATGAATATGGATACATTTCAGAAACATAATGTTAAGTGACAACAGCAAGTTACAGAAAGATATATACAGTATTATACATTTTCAATGGCTATATATGTATGTAAATATTTTAAAGGTTCAGAAGAACCCATATCAAACTCACAGCAGTGATTATTTGGAGTGACAGGTAAGGAGTATCGGTGAATATTGGGAGGGTGGTCAAAGGAAACTAACTTTACCCGTAATACATTAGTTTCTTAAAAATAAGGTAGGTATTCAGCCTGGCCAGTGTGACTCATGGTTGAGCTTTATCCCATGGACCAGGAGGTCATGGTTTAATTGCTGGTCAGGGCACATGCGCCAATAGGGGGTGTGCAAGAGGCTTTTATCTCTCGATGTTTCTATCTCTTCTTCCTTTCTCTGAAATCAATAAAAACATATTTTTTAAAAATGAAAAAATAAGGTATTCATATTTTACTTGTTAATTAAAGATTGTCATTTTCTTTTGTCTAAATGAACTCTTAAAAATATACTGTAATTTTGTTTAGTTTGTAAATGAAATTTATTGAGGTACTGTTTACATAAAATAAAATGAATCCATTTTAAGTGTAATTTTTATTGAATTATTAGAAGGCATACGTGCATTTTTATTAGAAAAGTAAGTGGAAAAGGAGTGGGATGGTAGGGTTTTGGAAAATTGGATAGATGACCTAAGATGCAACCAGAATTCTCTTGAAGCACCCATCTTATATAAAAACTGCTGTTTGATATTTTAACCCTGCTATTTTGGCTCCTGTAAATGCTTGCTTCCTTAAATAATAAGGAAATAAGACTACTCCAGAGAGGCCATAACCCTCCCCCAGACGAAGTTATCAGCCAAGCCTTTGGTTGAGGTCTCAAAACCCCAGCACATAGGGCTGTTTAAGAACTTGCAAAGGGGACCGGAAACATCCCATATTTGGGAGACAAAGAAGGTAAAAACAAATATTGAATAGGGAAAGTTTCTCCATGATGGGGCTGGAATTTGAAATACAGTTGCTCTCGGCCTGCGCATAATAATAAAGTGTACTCCATCTCTCTAAGCATTGCTTGGTTCTTCTTCCACCTTCTGTAACACTTTGAAGTCCAAAATTTTAAGTAACTCCTGCAAACTATCTTATAAAATATGGAATTAAGTAAGAGGTATTTGATCCTTGAACATATTACTTTTCCATGCTTACCTATTTGTGTTTCGAACTCCTTCATCAATATAACCCTAATGCCTTGCATGTAATAGTTGTAAATTAATTTAAAATTTTGATGAGCATTTGAAGACCCCTTTCACCTAACATCAAACTTTTTATTCATAAAGGGCTGATGTTAATAATTATTATAATTGCTATCCATCTTATTTATCCACTAAGTCCCAGCTCAGATGACATCTTTTCACCTACATTTCTGATCTAAATTTTCTCTCTTGAACACTTTCAAAAGCACTAAGGATAGTTAATGTTTATTGACCATTTACTATTGAGTAGATTCAAAACCCAGGAGAACGTGGTAACCATGTGCTTTGCCTCGTGGAATCTGGCTATAAAATAAAGAGGCTCACAGGCTGTGACGCTGTTGCTAGCTCTCCATCGGAGAGGACAGCATCCCACTGAGACCCAGCTTTTTTCTCTTGTCTGTCTTTTCCCAATCCTTCACCACCCCTTCTCAGGCTCACTGAACCTGGCTGAGCTGGTTCGGCACAAAAAAATAAAATACACATTTAAGTTACCATTTTTTAAGGGTATAGTTCAGTGTCATTACACACTTTCCATTGTTGTACAACCATACCACCATCCATCTCCAGAAAGCTTTCATCTTCCCCAACTGAAACTCTGTGCCTATTAAACAATAACTCTCCATTCTCTGCCCCACAAGCCACTGGGAACCACCATTCTGCTTTCTATGCATTTGTGCCTGGCTTATTCCCCTTGGCAAAGTGTTTTCAAGGTGCATCCATGTAGTGTGTGTCAAAATTTCTTTTTAAAATTAAATATTTTATTGTATGTATGTGTCACATTTTGTGTATTCATCTGTGCACGAAAATGTGCTGCTTCCACTTTTTGTTCCTTCCACACTACTGTGAACGTGGGTGTAAAATACTTGTTTGAATCTCTGTTTTCAATACTTTTGAATGCATACCTAGAACTATAATTGCTGGGTCATAACATAACTTTAATTATTTTGGGAAACCACCTTAATGTTTTCCACCATGTTTGTATATTTTCATATTCTCATCAGCAGTATGCCAGGGATCTAGTTTCTCTACATTCTTTTCAACATTTGTTATTTCTGGTGATATTTTGTTTTTTTATAATGGCCATCTTCATGGGTGTAAAGTGGCATTTCATTGGTGGTTTTGAGGAGCTCTTTCTATTAAATTTTCTTAGTTTTCATAGAACACTCATGTGTAAATATTATCACTATTTTAGAAATGAACCTAATGCTCATGAGTTAAGTAACTTGCTCTAATTCTCAGGCAAAGTGGTGGAGCCAGAATTTCAATTTAGGCAATCTTGCTCCAGGGTTCACACTTTCAATCCACCCTCCCCCTTCTCCCCACCTCATCTATAAATATAAAAGACTAATACACAAAATGTCCCCTTGGGAGTTTGACCAGGAGACTGGGAGTTTGATTGCTCACTATGAGGCGTGCTGACCACCAGGGGATGGGACGGAATGAAGGAAGGCTCTGACTGACAGCCAGAAGGCCCTGATCGACCCTGATCACTAGCCAGGTCTAGGGACCCTACCTGTGCACCAATTTTGTGCACTTGGCCTCCAGTGTATTGTCATTATGTACTGTTTCTTATGTACTACTGTCTCTAACTAGGTTTTAAACTTTTTAAAAAATAAAATATATGATGATCTTTGAATCCCAAAGGGCTTAGTATAATTCTTGAATGATAGGGGTGATAAATGTTTATGGATGAGGAAATTTAGGCATAGAGATGCTTAGTTATTTCCCTAACACACAAGTAATACAACAAAGATTGGAACTAGAATCCCTGCTTTTGATCACTGCATAAACCATTTCACTAACTGTGAACCCTTTTAGTGGATTCTGACATCATGGTAGTAACTATCATTTCAAAGCAGTCTTCATATCCACCAGAGTTCTTTGAACATTTTTATAAAATTAAAAAAGAAAAATTGAAACACTTTACAACCTGCCATTTTGTTAAACTCAAACTGATTCATAAATAAATTTGGATTATATCTTGATGCCATTTGGTTATGCACCAAAATTCACTGCATTGATTAATTTGGCAAAGCAGGATTTCACATGAAGAAGTGAAAAGAGCTCACAGCACCTCCTAAAATTAAGACTTGCTGGAGGAGTCGCAATCAACATAAGGAAGTTGGAATCAGCTGAGGAAAAATTGAAATCCTTATCTTCCTGTCTACTGTACCCCATCTGCTCAACCCAAGGAGGAGAGTATGCGTGTCTTCAATCTGCCATCAGAAAACATTGCTTATTGAAGTTCAAGAGAGGAGGCATTTGTGAGCAAAAGCATTGAAGGGAGCTTCTCAGATATTTAGACTGATATGGTCACTTAAAAGTATATGTTGTTAAGGCAGCTGCTGCACAGAGCCCAGGGCACTGATAACATGAAGTAAGAAACTGAACTCCGTCAATGATCTCTGCCATTTTTGAGTAAGACTGGATAATCTCAAACTTTTTAGTGAAAATTAGTTATCAATTGGTAAATTGGAGGTAGAATATTTTAAATCGGTATTGAGAAAATACTTTCTTTTTTAAAGCTAAAAAATGTAGTCACCTATGTACTCTATAGTACAAAAATACTAATTTAATACTATAAAACTGCATACGGTCTACTAAGGGTGCTTTTTTTTTATGTTTAGTGACTTTATAAAGGTCCAGTCTTGTTAAATTCTGAGAGTAGAAAATAAAGTCCATCCACAGTTGAATATGTTTATGAGGCCAGCTTCTTTTTGTGTATTTTGCTTTTGAGTTGCTACACTAAGCCAGCAGGTGTGTTTATTATTAACCAAAGGCTCTTTTAAACCACACTAATTTTATTACATTAGTGATGGTACTTCCTACTCTGGTCACAGATTTGGGAGTTTGGTGTTACGGAAAGTCCTCACAGCTTTTGTATATTTTGTCTGGGACCAGTAGTTTTTAGTGCTCCTTTCCAGAAAAGAAAAAATATATATAATTTGTCAGACTTAAAAAGCTGTAAATGGATTCATCATTGAGCAAGCTGAGTCACTTTCCCATTCAAAATACAAGTAAGGCCACATCCTTTGATGTAGTAATACAAGGCAGGAGCCACTTCCAGTTTAAAGAGCTGCTACTCATACCACATGGATGATATTGAATTAGGAAAGGCTGCAGGCTCTGGGCGTCCTGCCTTAGGATCACTTCTTGTGGCACCAATTAAGGGATGTGGAGTTAGGTTGCTTGAGTGCTAAGTATTTAGGAGGTGAATTTCCCACACGCATGGGGCTTTGGTAACCCATCTTGTTCCTCCAGCTTCAAGCCATGATTCCCCCTGTAGACTGAGAAAGGTAGTTACTGTATTTTCCGGCGTATAAGACGACTTTTGAAATGAAAAAAAGCCTGTTCAGATTGGCCAGAGTCAGAGAGGCGGTCTATTAAAAAAAGAACTGGTGTTGCCTTGGAAGTCGAAGGTAGTCTTATACAGCGAATATAGGCCTAAACTAT